GAGCTGAAGGCAGTTGCTTAACCAACTGAGCCACCCAGGTGCCCTAAACTTAAAATTTTATACACTTACTATAAATATTTTGGAGATAGATCTTTTCATATCAGTCAGTATATAGACTGCTCCCTCAGTATTTTTTTGTAGTATCATAGAATTCCATGGTCTAGATGTGCTAGAATTTATTTATTCAGTCCCTTGCTGGTGGGCATTTAGGTTGTTTCCTCATTTGTTAATACCAACAGTGATGTCATGGCTCTTATTTTACATGTCATTTTACAGGTGTACAGGTAGATCTTTGTGGATAAATTGTGAGAAGAAATATTATTGGTTCAAAAGAAAGGTTCATTTGGAATTTTTCAAACATTGGCCACTTGTTTTCCAGAGGGGCTCTACCCGATTTACACTCCTGTTAGGACCCTCAGAGGCTGCTTGTCTGTTCACAGTGTCCTTAACAGAGTGTGTTACTAGTTTTTTATTTCTCCCATCTGTTTGGTGAGCTCATTCTCAATATAGTTATAATTTATGATTTTTCTCCTAAAAATGAGGTTGAACACCTTTTATAATGTTTAAGTGGGGAAGCCTTTTGAAACATATGGAGACATAAACCATAAAGGAAAAAAATGATGGAAAGATTTGACTACATAAAAAAAGAAAACCAAAATTAAAAAAAAACAAAAACAAATGTTAAACTGGGGCTGAGAAATTTTTGCAACATTTTTTTTTTTAGAGAGGGGTAGGGGCAGAGGGATAGGGCTCGATCTCATAACCCTGAGATCATGACCTGAGCTGAAATCAAGAGTCAGTCGCTCAACAGATTGAGCCACCCAGGCACCCCACCACATTTGGCTAAATAGCCTTGATATACACTTCAATAATAAGATAATACTCTAGTGAGAAAATCAGCAGATGACATAAATAGGCAGTTTTGGATGAGGAAATTAAAGTAGCCATTAAACCCATAGTAAAAATATAGCCTCACCCATTAGTAATGAATCACAAATATTAAAACACCTTTGCTATAAAACTGATCATCTCTTTAAAAGTATACTACATGTGGTGCTTTTTCTAGATGAAACGTGGGGATATTCGACAATACACATTTTAGATAGTTGAAGGTATGTGGTAATGTTCCCCCTTCCTTCCCAGCACCTTTGTACCCTTCACCCTCAGTGGCCTTAGATCTTTTGGATAGCAGAGTCTTACATTATATACTGCCAAGAGTTGTTCAGCAGTTGGATGTAGGCAGCAACAGATTCAAGTGCAGTTACTTATTACGTACTTTTTCCATTTGAGGAGGAAATAGAATGTCATTATGTATTGGAGTCTGGAAAAAGTGGGTTCAATTAAGCAGAAACTTTGAGAACTTATTACCCTGTGCCATGTAGATCACAGTGATCTACAATGAGGATGAAAAGATAAACTTTGTTTTTAGTTAACCAGTGAATCTCATTTGTGTCTTTATGTACTTCATTTCTCTAGCTTTATTTTTTTATACTTTTTATTTGAAATTTTAAAGCAAGAGGCAGGTAGTCTGTTTTCTGAAGCTTTATTTCAGACTTCTATTTATTATTTTTCCATAAAATATTATTATGAGTATTATTTTTCATAAAATATTATGTAATTCATATACCATATAATTTGTACATTTAAAATGTACAGTTAATTGGATTTTGGTATATTCACCGAGTTGTGTATCATTACTGCAGTCAATTTTAGACTATTTTCATTACCCTCAAAGGAAACTCTGTAACCATTAGCAGTCACTGTCCGTTCCTCCCTGCCTCAATTCCTGACAACCACTAATCTGCTTTCTGGCTCTAGAGTCCCCTATTCTGGACGTGTTATGTAAAAGGAGTCATAAACTATGTACTCTTTTGTGATTAATTTCTCTCCACATAATGTTTTTAAGGACTCATCCATGTTTTAGCATATAACAGTGCTGCTTTTCCTTTTTATGGCCAAATAAAATTCCATTTTGTGGATATACCACATTTTATTTAGCCATTCATCAGTCCATGTTCATTTGGGTCGTTTCTACCTTTTGTCTGTTGTAAGTAATGATACTGTGAACATTCACACACATGTTGTTGTGCAGATACATGTTTTCATTTCTCTTGTGTAGATACCTAGGAGTATCATTACCGGGTCATATGGTAACTCTATGTTTAACACATTGAGGAAGTGCCAGACAGTTTTCCAAAGTGGCTGTACTATCTTAACGTGCTCATCTGCATTGTTAGAGGTTCCCAGTTTCTCCACATCCTCACGAACGCTTGATATTATCTGGCTTTTTGATTATAGCCATCTTAGTCAGTATGAAGTAGACTCTCATTGTGGTTTTGATTTTCAATTCCCTAATGACTAATGACATTGAGTTTGTTTTCATGTGTTAGATGGCCATTCGTATCAGCAGCTTGGCATCTTTCTGACCATTCTTTTGTAGTCACCTCTCCCTCTGGTCACAGCCTGGAAAGAATCTCTACTTTTAAGGATTTATATCATTAGATTTTGCTTACCTGGATAATCCAGGATAATCTCCCGATCTCAAGGTGCTGAACCTTAATCACAACTGTAAAGGCCTTTTTGTCAAGTAAGGTAATACGTTTGCAGGCTCTGGGTATTTGGAGGCAGCTATCTTTGGGGACCATTTTTCAGCCTACCATACCATCTTAACAATACTAAATCTTCTGATCCACAAAAATGAGATCTTTCCATTTATTTAGGATGTCTGTCTTTAATTTCTTGCAGTGATGTTTTGTATTTTCCTGGTTATAAGTCTTGCACTTCTTTTGTTAGATTTGCTCCTAAGTATTTTTTTGAGAAATTATTAGTGGAATGATGTTCTCAATTTTATTTGTGGATTGTTCATTGCTAGCATATAGAATTGTAATTCATTTTTCTGTGTTGATCTTGAATCCTGCAAATTTGCTGAACTTCTTTAATGTTCTAATAATTTTTTTTTTGTGGCTCCCTTAGGATTTTCTGCATTCATGATCAAGTCACCTGTGACTAGAAATAGGTTTATTTCTTCCTTTTCAAACTAGATGGCATTTATCTTGTTTTCTTGTCTAATTGTTCTGGTTAGAACTTTTAAGGTATTGTTGGGAAGAGCAGACAGACATCCTTGGTTTGTTCTTGATGATAGTGGTAAAGTATGCAGTCTTTCACCATTAAATATGATGTTAGCTGTGGGTTTTTCGTAAATGCTCTTTATTATGTTGAAGAAATTCCCTTCTCTTCCTAGTTTGTTGAGCATTTTCATCATGAAGCTCTGTTCCATTTTCTCAAATCCTTTTTCTACTTTTGAGATGATCCTGTTTTTTTAAATAATAGCATAATTGAGTTATAAATCACATATCTTAAAATTCACCCTTTTAAAGTGTGCAATTCAGTGTTTTCAAAAAAAATATTCACAGAGTGTCCAATCATAACCACTATGTAACTCCAGAATATTTCCATCACCCCCGGAAGAAACCTGGTACCCATTAGCAGTCACTCCCTATTACCCCTTCCTCCTACCTCCTAGCATCCACTAATCTACTTTCGGTCTATGGATTTGCCTATTCTGGACATTTCATATAAATTGAATCATACAATATGTAGCCTTCTGTGTCTGGCTTCTTTCATTTAGGGTAATATTTTCAAGATTCATGCAAGGTGTAGCATGTTTGAGTACTTGATTCTTCTGATCTCAGGAGGAGGACTCTTCAACTTCCTCTTTCCCTAGTTACCCCTGGTAAACTAGCTGGCTTATAGCCTAAACTGTTACTCTCCTGAACCTGCTTGCTTCCTCTTAATTGTTTAGCACCAAAAATCTCCATTTTTTTGAGAGTCCTTTGGCTTGAATCTCCTCACACTCCTTTTCAGATAAAGTCAGTACTTTCGGGTGTAGATTGGGAGCTCTCTGTTTTTATGTGCCCCTGGGCAAAAACCTTTGAAACAGTGCTGTGGGTGTTGTGTAGGGCCAGTTTCCTCTGACCCTCTTGATTATCACTTCAGGCATGGAATCTCAGCCTTGTAAGTGAGCTGGGACAAGGAAGCCAGGGTAGGGGTAACCTGTGGGGCCTGGTGTAGAACCTCTGCCCTATGAATGAGGCCTGACTAAAGGTAGGGAGTCCCTCAATTCTTGGCTCTACTTGCCAGGAATTTCAACACATGAAATATGTGTTGGAGGTGATTTGCTGGCTGCTTGCCTTTCCCAATGAAATACTATATCCCTTGGTTGGGAGCTGGGGCCATTGTTAATGGCCACTCCCGGCTGGAGTGTGGCTTCCTTCAAGGTGAACAGGGGGATAAAGGGAATGAAGGGAGTGGGTTGTGGTTCATATACTAGACTCTAATGGGTATAACTGAGTCTTAGCAGATTTTCTTGAATAAATGTTCTTTATTTGCTGTATATCTTTTGGACGATATCCTGAGATTTCGGATTGTTTTCAGTATTATTATTTTTTATACCAATTATGGTGTTTCACTGGGGAATAGGTCCCTAGGACTTCTTATGCTGCAGTTCGAAAAGTGGATCTCCCTTTTACATTTACTTTTTCAGCAAAGTAGAATTTCGTTGTTATGATGGTGCTAGAAGACTGGCTATACTATGCAGTACTGATAAACTGTTTTTTTTTAAATCAGGCTTTTTTAAGATAAATTTGTTTATTTACTTGAGAGAGAGAGAGGGAGTGAGTGAGAGCAGGAGAGGGGAGAAGGTCAGAGGGAGAAGCAGGCTCCCCGTGGAGCTGGGAACCCGGTGTGGGACTTGATTCCGGGACTCCGGGTACTGGGATCATGACCTGAGCTGAAGGCAGTGGCCCAACCAACTGAGCCACCTAGGCACCCTAAATCAGGCTTTTAATTATGTTTTATTTATTAGATATCATAGTATCTAATTTTCCTTGCTCTGTTAGTTTCTCCTATAAATGAACCTTGTTATAATGGTATTTTATTTTTTAAAGAACTGTTCTTCGGTGACATATTTTTCTGTTTATTACTTTGATTTTTAGGTTTAGCTTCAGTATCGACTGCTGACGCCAGTACTTGTTCAAGCACCATGCTGTTTACTTCAATGTCAAACGCTTCTACTTCCGCTGCTGCTACTGGGCTCTCTTGTAAGTTACTGGTTGCAAAGAAAATACCCTTATTTCGCATCAGGCTACTTAACTCAATTTGCCAATATAAGCTATGGGTCTCTTGCATCTCATAAATTATCATTATGCTTGAACCCATCTGTAACTGCTGCTATCAATAGTAGCATTGCTTAAGAACCTAATTGTCATGGCTTTAGCTGTGAATTTTATGTTAACATGATTATTCCCGCTTAAAGTGATAATTTTAAGCATATAATTCATTAATGCTGTAATATTTTGAAACAACTTCTTGAAGCTAATGGGAGTAAGAAGAGTGGGAGTTTTGCCAAGTATGTCTGAAGGGAAGAAGTCTTATTATCTATGTGAGTAAGATAAAATAGGAATTAAATGTTGGAGCCTTGCTATCATGTATTCTTCTAGATAGACCAGGTTTGTGGTCCTTACATTTTACCTCTCAGAAGTGATGGATGACAAAAGGACCAGTTTGGGGTTTTAATTAATACCGTGTGTTGCCTTGTGGCTTCTCTCCTTGAAGAGGAACATCTGGATGCCTTGAGCTGAGAAGTGGGATATTAATTATCTTGTAACCCCAACTTCCTTGCTATGTATCTTCCATTAGTACAATAACAGCAAATGTTGAGCAATTCTTTCTTACAGGTCCATATAACTGACTCTACTTTTGAGATATCTTCACAGTGCCATGCCATTTATCATTAGACTTTGTTATTGTAACCCTAGCTGTAATATGGTTCCCCCACAGGCCTTTTAGAGCAAGGTTGTCACCATTCCTAGAAATAAAACTTGCCAGGAGTTGCTCATGCCTATTTCAAGATGAAAAATAGTGGTCTGTTGTCCCTGTCCTCTTGTGAAGTTGAATAGGCAAACATTAGTTAGAATTGCTGGTTACCACTTGAATTATATTTTCTACCAAATAGATTTCCAGTTTTGAGATGTGACTGGGATTCTGGAAGCCTTTTGATATATGTAAGCAATGTCCTTCTCCAATACAACAGATTTCGTGAATATGACCACGTCTGAGGTTGGAAGTTATAATTGTTTAATGCATTCCACTTTCAATCATACTTGCCCTCTGACCTTTGACAGGCTTGTTTTCATTCCTGTCTTTGATGTCCTTGCTCACCAAATGAAAAGAAATCCTGACCATAGTATTTTTAAAATTAACTTTAATGAGGTATAACTTACATATAAAAATAACTTATTTTAAGTGTATAATTCAGTGATTTTAATAGGCTGAATTGCATAACTACCACTCAAACTGTAATCCAGTTTTAGAACATTTCTGTCCTCCAAATAAGATCTTTCAGCCCCAGACAGCTACTAATCTATTTTCTGTCTCCATAGATTTGCCTTTTCTGGATATTTCTTATAAATGGATTGACTGTAGGCTTTTGGAGTTCAGCCAAAAGTTTCCAAAGGACTCTTCAGATGAAAGAGACTATATCTAAATTGCTCACTGTTTTTAAATTAAAGTGTAATAGGTAATATTGTGTTATTCTCTGCAGTTGGTGCTCCAACAACTTCGACTGGAACATTTGGTGGCATAACTTGGGGATTTGGATTAAAAGTCCCTGGAACAGGTGGAGCAGCTCATACTGCTTCTAGTAAGATTTGAGAATTATTGGGGTGTGTGATGTGTTTAGATGTTCAGTGGAAATGCGTTGTATAACAAGCAGTAAGTTGTGTTCCATAGCTTTTAGGACTGTCTAAGTAAGTTGTGATCATTTCATCAGAGTATGCAAAATGTACGCCAGTAGTGATGACTGCCAAAGTATAGTGAGACATTTGATACCAATGATGCTGCTTCTTTGAGATGACCATACTCAACACTGCTATCAAATTCTTGTCAACTTTTAAATTGAAGAAGTTTTAGTACTGATCATAGTGTTTACATCGATCCAATATATTGGCATTGATAGTTCTTTTTCCCTAAAACATAATTTAAGTTTTGACCTGTATTAAAAGTTGACCGTATCCTAAAGCTGATTACAGGAGTTCCCATCCTAAATTTGTTTCTGCCAGTTAGGAGCTACTTAGGTTGTAGGTTGAAGAGAACTTGGCTAGTTGTAGCCTTGTAGCTTATGGTGAGCTGGGTGGTTAGGGGTCAGTTGCTACTCAAACCTACCATTTAAGTCATTCTCCATTCTGGGAAAGTCTTATTTGTTTTATTTTAAAAGTTTACAGAGGGCTGAATAAATCTTTCCTCAAACCTGGTATAAATTAAAAGTCACTCTTTTCTAATTTTAAAATAATTATTCCTAAACAGAGATGTCCACCATCTATTTTTTTATTCTTTTGCATGAGTGATGCTTATCTGAGTTTCTGCTGTGTACTAGGCAGTTGGCCAACCTATGAGAGTTGTAAAGAGTGTGTCTTGAGGACTTTACAGGTTACCATATTTGCAAATACCATAACCCATAATTTTCCCTGTAAAATGCTGAACAAAACTGATTCTTTCAGCCATGGGTTGAGTCACTGAAGTATGAATTGGCAGGCTCTTTGGTGACTCTGCCATAACCCATCCCTTCCCCAGCTAGGTCTCAGATTCCTTCCTGCAAACTGGTACCTTTGCTACTAACCCATCCCTCCTGGCCCTTCCATCCACCATTAATTTATATACCCATCTCCCTGTCAGACGTATCTCAACTTGACACCCTTAACCTGGAGTTGTTTTTTTCCCCCTAGTCACCTTTCCTTCTCCCCAAGCATTTTCTTGCTCAGACTCTTCACCTCACAAATCAACCTTGTAGGGCAGCTTTCAAGTGTCTGTGTCTGCAGATTTATTGTCAATTGGGATTATTCTCTGCCCTAAGTGTAATCAGCAAGTTTTAAGAGAAGGTTGCTTGTTACCAGTCTTACATCTTTTGTGTGGAAAATGTTTGTTTGGATAGGAAAATTGGATAGTAGGATGTTTTAAAGGATGTTTTCACTATTTTATATAACAGTCTTTAAGACCATCAGAATGAGATTTATTTAAATGCAAATGTGGTGTGCAGTTATTTTGTATTTTTTATAGAATTGTGCTTCCTTTTTACTATGCACGTAATGTAGAGTTGACTGTATTTAGTTCAGATCAAAGTCATAACGCAAAATCAAACTGGGATGGAATCTTTCATTCTCAAATCCATTGCTTTTTTGTTATTAATTGAAATACTTTTGTTATATGAGTATTATCTTCTATGCCAGAGCTAATTTACACCTTTTTAAAATACTGTAAAAAATAAAGAACAAAGATAAATACTGTTTAAAAAGGTTAAAATAATCATACCATTTTTTTATGACTCAAGATTCTTTTGTGTTTAGGTTGACAGGTATTAATTTCCTGAAGGTATTATTTATCATCTTTGTGGAGATGGTTTGGTAGTGATGGTAGTTGCTTGCTTTTTTTTTTTTAATAAAAATCATGCACACATGTATATATACATATATCACTGTATCCAGAGTGAATGATTTGGTGTTTATCTTTCCAGCCTTTTTTTTCCAAACACATACAAACATACACTGAATTTGTTTTACAAAAATGGGATCATTATAAACACACACACATATAATGCTAGACTCTGCTATTTTCTTATATGTCATCTTTGCACATCTGTCCATGCTAGGAAATACAGATTACTTTAAAAAAAAAAAAAAGAAAAAGAAAAAAACAACCCTTGGGTGAAGAAAAGCTTTTTAAGAAGGACTCTTTCTTAGTTGTTTTTCTGTTTTCCATCTGGAATGTAGTAGTTACACAGTTTTTGAATGAATTAATAAAGGAGGGGTCTCCATAGTGTGATTAAGTTTCAGTATTTCTGGAGGGTTTCTTTTCAGATAAGACTTTATTCTCGGATGAAGACTGATGACATAGAACTGTAAAGAATGCCACATGGAATCCAATCTACAATATTCCCAGTGTTTTGAGTGATTAAGTGACCTCAGGGATCCTTTGTGACTGTGGTGTTCATTCCACCCTCACAAAGGCTAACTCAAAGAATTAGGGAATTTGGGTGCCTGGGTGGCTCAGTTGGTTGAGTGCCTTCAGCTCAGGTCATGATCCTGGAGTCCTGGGATTGAGTCCTGCATCAAGGTCCCTGCCTCAGTTGGGGGTCTGCTTCTGCCTCTAACCTTCCCCCTCTCATGCTTATGCTCTCTCTCTCTCAAATAAGTAAAATCTTACAAAAAAAAAAAAGAATCAGAATTCTTGTAAGGATTTTTGTGGCCAAAAGGGAAATGGAATCTTTTGGAAATGTAACACAGGTAATATCATCGCACTGAACTTTAAAGAAATGGAATTTAAGAGTTATTCTAAAGGAATAGGGACCTAAATCTATTGGATAAACATAATTCAGTTCTATTCCCTTAGTCTTCTCTTTTGTAACTTCCCATTGGTTTCCTTACCTCTTTTTCTACCTTACTATTTTAGCTTATTCTTTTTTTTAAAGATCGTATTTATTTATTTGATAGAGAGAGAGAGAGAGAGTACGTGCGTGAGCAGGAGCATGAGGACAGGAGGGGCAGAGGGACAGGGAGAAGCAGACTCCCTGCTGAGCAGGAAACCTGATGCAGCCACTGGATCCCAGGACCCTGAAATCATGACCTGAGCTGAAGGCAGAAGGCACACAACTTAACCACCTGAGCCACCCAGGTGCCCCTTAGCTTATTCTTCATTTTGACTTGCTCAGAAGCCTTAATTCTACTTCATATCCATTCTCTGTTGGTTCTTTCAACCCCCCTGCCTGTGGTTGGATTCTTTCTACACTTTTGGGAATATTTCCAAATTTCTGCTTACAATCTGATTCTTACCATATTTCTGGAAATATTTCTGTATTTCTACCTATAGTCTGATTCTTTCCATAGTTATAAATTTTTAAAAATGAGATTCTGACCTATTTTATCCCTGCTTGGCTAGAGCTTTCTGTGCCAGACTTGTATAGGCTGCCAGTAGTATGTGAGATGGATACCATGCTTTGGATACCCACCCTTGTCCCAATCAACTGTGAACCAGGAGCAAAGGACAGAATTCTTGGAATAAAGAAAGAGTATCTGGGCTTGATCCCTGAGCAGGAATGGAGAAGGCCAGTTTCCCTCAGTATAGGCTGTGCCTGTTTTGGCAGGCAGCATGATTTATATATTTATCTCGTATGGCCATTAACCTGAAAATATTGCTAATTGGGAAAGCAAGGCTAATGTAAAACAAACAATTGTGTACATGTTATAATGTATTTTTATAACAAATTTCTTGTTACAGAAGCAGCATCTATTGATTACCAAGAACATTTGAAAACACAGAGAACCAAAAAGAAGAAAACATTTGCAGTCCCCACCAGCTGCAGTTTTCTGAGAATTACTCTTTAAGTGCTCAGTGTGTAGGAAAAACTAAAAGTGCTATGGAAGTTCAGAAAACCAAGGGATGATGATGGAGTAGAAGAGAAGTGGGTGACAAATATGAGGGAAGGAAGAATGTAAGTTAGGCCATGAAATATAGTGAGGATTTCATCTAGAGAGGGCTAGGTATTCTAGTAGGGGTACAGTGGAAGAAGACATTTAAGAGAGAGGTCTGGGCTGTAGATGAAAATTTAAGAGACTTTCACCTATTAGTCTAGTGAAGATATATGCCTCGTATGGGCTATAACGTTGAGAAACAGGAACTCTCCCTTACGGATAGAATGTAAATTGGCAAAATCTTTTTGGTTGGGCAGTATGGCAAGATATATTAAAATTTATAACATGCTGACCCTTTGATCCAGCAGTTTCATTTCTAGGAATTAATCACACAGGTACATTCATGTAAGTATGCAAAGACATAGATGTACAGAGAGTTTGTATAAGATTGCAATTATTCTTTCCTTGGAAGTTTAGTAGAATTTTTCAGTGAGGTCATCTAGGTCTGGAGGGTTTTTTTTGGGGAAGAGTTTTGAGGATTGATTCAGTTTCTTTAATGATTATAGGTCTGGTTAAGTTGTAAATTTTCTTTTTCAACACACATATCCAGGATTTTAAATTTTTAGCAGAAAGGTTAATCCGGATGTCTGGCCTGCTGTATATCACTTCATGTTACAACTGTGTTGAGTGCTAATCCACACAAATTTGAGTTTAATTTCACATTAAAAAAATGTTTCTATAGCTTTTATCCTGAGTGATCAAGGACGAAATAAAATAAGTCTCTTATTTCTTACTAATGTGCATTTTATTTTCCAGCTACAACATCAACGACAACCACCACCACTGTCACCACTACCACCACCACTACCACAACCACCAGTGGCTTTACCTTGAACCTAAGGTCACTGATGTCATCTGGGATTAACAACATTTTTCCAGTTGGCATTAATTCGCTACCGTTTACTTCGACTGTTAAGTAAGGCTGTTTCTTTGAAAATTTATGTGAATTTCATTTTATTTATCATGTACAAGGTATAATTTTCTTGTATAGCTTTAGAATAGCGTTTGAAATTTGGGTAAATGACTCGGTCGAAGGAGCAGATAAAGGATTTCTGTAGCTTAGGAAGTGGAATGATTAATAGCGCACCTTTGTTTTATTACCATTATCATTATTACTAATAATAGCTAACATTTACTGTGCAATTACTGTATGTTTAGCTAAGTGACAGTGCGTTACAAACATCATATCGTTTAATCCTCACAGTAACTCTATGAAGTTGGTGCTTTTTTTGTTCCCACTTTATAGATGAGGAAACTGGAGCATGTAGGAATTTTATACTCTGTCCCTGGTAAAGGTTGAGCCCAGATTAAAATTCAGGCAATTGAATCTATGCCATGTTCTTCTCTAATTGTTTGTGTTTTTTAATTAATTTTTAAATATTGAGACCATTGTAGATTCACACGTGCTTCTAAGAAATAATACAAAAACTTCTGTGTGTCCCTTACCTAGTATCCCCCAATAATAACATCTTGCAATGCTATTGGTACAAGTGATACCATCAAGATATAGAACAATTCCATCAGCACAAGGATCCTTCCTGTTGCCCTCTTATAGCCACACTCACTACCATCCCCTCCTTTGCCTGACCCTGGGCAGGAATGAATCTATTCTCCATTTCTATAATCTTGACATTTAAAAATGTTACACAAATAAGTTCTAAATTACGTGATCTTTGGGCATTTTTTTTTCTAGTCATACTTCCTTGAGTTTGTCATGTGCATCAATAGTTCTTTTTTATTTCTGAGTAGTAGTCCATGGTATTGTAGATGTATTACATAGTTAACTTGTTGATGGACTTGTTGATGGACTTCTAGGTTGTTTCCAGTTTCTGGCTGTTATGAATAAAGCTGCTGAGAACATTTGTGTTCAGGTTTTTTTTTTAATGAGTGTAAGTCTCATTTCTCTAGGATAAATGCCCAGAGTGCAGTTACTGGGTGATATGGTTGTTGCATGTTTATTTTTTTTTTAAGATAATGCCAAATTCTTTTCCAGAGTGACTATGCCATTTTACACACTTGACAGCAATGTATGAGGGATCCAGCTTGTCCACAGTCTCACCAGGATCTGATGTTGTCACTATTTTTCATTTTAGCCCTTCAAATATATGTGAAATGTTATCTCATTGTGATTTTAATTTGCATTTCCCTGATGACAAATGATGTTGGACATCTTTTCATGTGTTTATCTGCCACCAGCGTATCCTCTTTGGTGACATGTCTGTTCATGTCGTGTCTTTTGTCTGTTTTCGACTTGAATTTCTTTTTTTAATTTCAAGTATTGAGAATTATATATACTAGGTTCAGTCTTGTCAGATATGTGGTTTATAAATATTTTCTCTAAATTTATAACTTGTCTTTTTGTCTTTTTAACAGGGTACTTTGCCAAACAAAAACTTTTAATTGATGAGGTCTAGTTTATCAGCTTTTCCTTTAATGGACCATGTTTTAATGTCAAGTTTAGGAGCTCTTTGTCTAACTCTAGATACCAAAGATTCTCTTATTTTTTTCTAAAAATTTTACAGTTTTATATTTTGCAGTTAATTTTTGTATGAAGTATGAGTTTTAGAGTAAGGTTCATTTTTTTTTTGGTCTGGGGTGTCCAGTTTTTCTAGCATCATTTGTTGAAAGACAGTCTTCAACTTCTTCCATTGAATTACTTGTATACCTTTGTCAAAAATCAGTTGGACATATTTGTGTCAAATGTTTATTCTGTCTCAGTTGATACAATATTTTAGGATTTTTCCTCTTTAGCTTAATGATATGGTGAATTACACTGATTGATTTTCAAATGTTAAGCCAGCCTTACATACGTAGGATAAATTTGACTTGGTCATGACATACAATTTTTTTAATACATTTTTGGATTAGTTCGATAGTATTTTGCTTACTACTTTATAATTTAAGTTCATGAGAGATATTAGCCCATAGCTTTGTTTTCTTTCGTTTTTTATTCTGTCTTTGCTTTTGGTATGTGGATAATTCTGGCCTTATAAAATGATCTGGGAAGTATCCTCTTCTGTTTTATAGAAGGAATTATATAAAATTGTATAAAAATTGTATTTGTTAAATGTATGCAGAATTCTCCAGTGAAACCTCTAGGCCTGGATATTTCTTTTTTGGGAAGTTTTAAGTTACAAATCAATTTCTTTAATGGTTCTAGGACTATTCAGTTTATCTGTTTCATCTTTGGTAAATTTTACTAGTGTGTGGTATTCAAGGAATTGGTTTAGTTTTCTAAGTTGTTGAATTTATGACTATAAAGTTGGTGATATTTGCTTTTTGTGCTTTTAATAGCTGTTTCATTTCTTCTGTTGGTGTTCTGTACCTTTTTTTTTTTTATCAATTTTATTCATCCTTTCCCAAAGAAGTAGCTTTTATTTCACTGATTATTCTCTATTGTTTTCATTTTCAATTGCATTGATATCTACTATTTATTTTTCTTTCCTTCTGATTGTGTTGGCTTCATATTGCTCTTTTCCTAGTTTCTTGAGGCATGAACTTAGATTACTGATTTGAGACTTTTCCCTTTTCCTAATGTGAATGTTCAGTGCTATAAATATCCTCACCATTGCATTAGCTGTGTGCCACATATCCTTTTTTAAAAAAAAAGATTTTATTTATTTATTTGAGAGAGAGCGAGGGAGCAAGCGGGAGTGCACGTGAGTGGGGGGAGGGGCAGAGGGAGAAAGACAAGGGTTTTGATCCCTGGACCCTAAAATCATGACCTGAGCTGAAGTCAGATGCTTAACCAGCTGAGCCACCTCAGTGCCCCTGTGTACCACATGTTCTATTATGTTTTATTTTCTTTTTCATTCAGTTCTACTTTTCAAATTACTTTGTGAATACCTCTTTGACCTATAGATTATTTAGAAGCATGTTGTTTAATTCCCAAGTGCTTGGAGATTTTCTTGTTTTCTTTCAATATTGATTTCTAGTTTGATCTTTTATAGTTGGAGAACATGCTCTGTATGACTTGAGTCTGTTTGTATTTCTTCAGGTTCATTTTATGATGAAGATAAGAGTCTTTCTTGGTGGCTGTTCCATAGGCCCCTGAAAGTTGTGTTTTCTGTATTGGGTGGAATGTTCTATATATGATGATGAGTTCCTACTTCATTGTATTTTCAGATCTGTATCCTTGCAGCTTTTCCCTCTATTGCTTCTTTCAGTTGTGGAGAGTGGCAATTTGAAGTCCCCAACTAGAATTGTGGAATGCTCTGTTTCTCCCTTTAGCTCTAACAGTTTTGCTTTTCGTATTTTGAGGTTTTGCTGTTTGGTTGCCTACATGTTTAGGATTGTTGGCCTTTCCTGGTGATTTGATTCCTTTATCATTATCCAGTGTCCCTCTTTGGTAATTTTCTTTGCTCTAAAATTTACTTTATCTGCTATTAATATAGCCATCTCTTTTAAAAAATTAATCTTACTTGTATGTCTTTTTCTGTCACTTTACTTTCAACCCATTTGTGTCTTTGTATTTGAAGTGAGTTTCTTGTAGATAGCATATGGATGGATCATAATTTTTATTCAGTTTCTGCCTTTTAGTTGATATATTTGGCACATTTACATGTAAGCTAATTATTGATATGTTAGGGCTCAAATCTGCCATTTTATTATTTGTCTTTTGTTCGTTACTTCTGTTTTTGTTTTTCTTTTTTTTTTTTTTTTTAATTTCCCTGTGGGATACTCAAACATTTTTTAGGGTTCCATTTTGTTCTATTTTTATAGTGTTTCTGAGCATATTGCTTTATATAATTTTCTTATTAGTTGCTCTAGGTATTACAGTATACATATGTAACTTCTAATAGTCTGTTCATGTTGACATTTTACCACTTTGGTAATTCCATTTAGCACCCTTAACTCTTCTTACCTTTTAATTGTCTCCAGTATTTACTCTGTGTACATTGAACACCATGTTATGTGCTGTTATACTTTTTGCTTTAGCCATCAAATATGACTTAAAAATTCATGAGAAATTGGATAGTCTATTATACTTACCCTTTTTACTCATTTTGACTTCTTTCCTTTAAGAAGTTCCAAGCCTTCTTCTGTTTTCATTTTTATTTTCTGATTAGCCAATTTTCAAGGGTACATTTGCCAGCAACAAAAATCTTGCAAGGGAATATATTTATTTTCCTTTCACTTCTGAAGGACATTTTCACCAGATAGAGAAGTTGTGGTCAACAGGTTTATTTTTTTTTTCTTTCAGTACTTGAAAACTGTTGTGACACTTCCTTTTAGCTTCCATGGTTTAAGATGAGAAATCTGCTGTCATTCGAATTGGTAGTACCTTTTAAGTAATGTGTTGTTTCTCTCTGGCTACCTTCAAGATTTTTTTTTCTTTCTTTATCCTCAGTTTTCAGAAATTTGAGTATTATGTGTCTTAGTGCAGATTTCTTTGAGTTATTCTGTTTGGGGTATGCCCAGCATCTTGAATTTGTAGATTTATGTCATTTGCCAAATTTGGGAAGTTATCACCTTAATTTTTCAGAATACTTCTTCAATCCCATTTTCTCTTTTCCTCCTAATCTGTCATCCTCCAATGGTATAAATGTTATCTCTTCTGTTATTGTCCTCTAGGTTCTTTTGATTTTTTTTTCATTTTTGTGTCTTTTTTCTCTTTGCTGTTCTGTAAATTTTATTGATATACTCTCAAGTTCACTGATTCTGTCCTTTGTCATTTTCACTCTTGTATCAGACCCTCTAAGTGAGCTTTTTAGTTTCCAGTTCTATAATATAATTATAATATAATTTCCATTTGATTGTTTTTCATAACTTGAGTTTCTTTGCTGACATTTTCTAGTTTTCATTTGTTTCTAGAAAATTCCTAATTGCTTGTTGGAGCATTTTTTTGATGGTTGCTTTGAAATTCTTTTAGAGAATTCCAGTATCTGATACCTCTCAGTGTCAGTGCCTTTGGCTTATCTTTTCTCTTTTGAGTTGTGATTTTCCTGGTTCTTGATAAGACGGATAATTTTAAGTTGTATCCTAGACATTTATGTCTATTATGTTAAGGGAGTCTGGGTCCAATTTTAATTTTTTCAAATCAAGTAATCCTTTCATTTGGGGTATAGTACAAGGGTTGGGTATGTTTGCATCTTCAGCTTCCTACTAGACCCTGCCCATACCACCCCAGGACAAGTGGAGTACTGACTCATACTGCCTCAATGCAGATGAGTGGTATGAAAGTTCAGCTACCTCCTCAGCCCGACTGACTCATTCCCCATGAAAGTGGGGCAGCGGGTCACACCACTTCATTGCCTCAAGTGGGGATGTAAGCTCAGCCCTCAGCTGGGTCCCTGGGACCCCCGAACAAGAGGAAGTGGGGGACTAACTCATACTGCTTAGTTGCTGCAGAGCAGAGGCAGAATTTCAACTTCCTTTTAGGCACCACTGGTGGAAAAGGAGTGAGGAAGCAGGATATCAACTATTCTGCATCTTATCACTTCATTCAGCCTCTTGATGCTGGTTTGGTATGGAAGCTTAGCTCCCCACTAGGCCTCACGGACACAGGCTCTGGGGAGAAGGAGGTTGGGGTACTGACTAGCCCTGCTTTGCCCTGCCTCATTCAGGTTGATTTCTCCAGTAGGTGTGGAGGTTAAGCTCCTCACTGAGCCTTGCTGACACTAGGGGTGGTGGGAAGTAGAGTCCTTACTAGCTCCAGCTTGCATTGCTTTGTTCTGTCTCAGTGATGCCAGGTGGGTATAGTGGTTAAGCTCCCCATTGGGTCCCACTGGCACTGGAGACAAGTGGTGAAGCCTAATGGTAACTAATCCTTTCCCTTATTAAGTCTTGTTGCCATTGGGTGGGTATTTAGATTCAGCTTGTCACTGGCCTTTGCTGACAGAACCCTGGTAGAGGAAATAGAACACTACCTGCCTCTCCTGAGCAGAGAATTGATGATTACCTCTCTGCTTAGTCCTGCTGACACTGCCCCAGGAAAGGAATCAGAGCATTGCCTGGTTCTGCCAGTCACAGGCTGGAATTTCAGCTACCTGCTTAGCTTATTTGATACCACCTGGCAGGGGAATCAGAGTTCTGCTTGGTTCTTCCCAGTGGAGGATGGACGATCAGCTGCCTACTTTGTTTTGTGGATGCTACTTAGATTTGGAATGGATAATTTTCACTAAGAGCTATGGGGAGAGGGAGTCCTATCTCTGGCCATATGCACCCAGGATGAAACTTGCATCATGCTGAGCTGAGGGCAAGGGAAGGGAGCAGGTGTGGCACAGAATTTAGCTGTTCTTACTGAAATTTGGTAGATTTCCTAATAGATTTTTTTAATTTGCTGTATTCCTTTAGGATAATTTCCAAAGATTTTAAAATGGTTGTTTTAAAAATAATCTTGACTACCTATGCTGGTTCTGATGGGAAGCAGGTCTGGAAAATTCATGTGATAATTTCTTCTCTAAGTCCTCCTGTTGTTATTCATTTAAAAAATATGGTTATACTTTTAAAAATGTGATCATATGGTCTTACTGTATCCTTTTTCAGTTCAATTGTAACTCCCGTGATGACTTACGGTCAGCTGGATGGTCTGATAAACAAATGGAACCTTGATTTAGAGGATCAAGAGAAGTACTTTCTTCACCAGGCCACTCAGGTCAATGCTTGGGATCGTACCTTGATTGAGAATGGTGAGAAGGTAAGAAGATAGTCTCATTAATCTACCTGTATTGTACAAGTATTTTCAAAGTCTCAGTAGTCTGCCTGCATTGTATAAGAGCACAGACCTGTTTTGTGGTTAATTTTTTATCTCAATATTGGTGATCAACTGAAAAATATTTTCCTTATGTAATGAGTGTCCTGAATTAGGAAATTGTTTATATTTGAAGTGTATATGAGAAAATTAGTATTGCCTTAAAATTATAACATAAATTCAAATATTTACCTTATCATATTCTTGTGTTCCTTTATAGATTACTACTTTACATGGAGAAGTGGAAAAAGTGAAACTGGATCAGCAGAGGTAGAACCTTAGACTCCCTAGGTTGAAAGATTAAATATCTGTTTCTTTGTCCATTCTTTTTTCCTTGTTGAAGTTTTTGACATTTATTATGACACTCCAAGTTCCTTTCATCAGCCCTTCCGTTGACTTGTTTTTTCAGGCTGGAACAAGAATTGGATTTTATCCTGTCACAGCAGAAGGAACTGGAAGATCTCTTGACCCCTTTAGAGGAGTTTGTGAAGGACCACAGTGGGGCTCCTTATCTGCAGCTAGCAGATGAGGATCATGGGAAGACGTAAGTAACTGAATAAAGATCAGGGAATGGGGCAAGACTTAGCTACTTAAAAAAAGGAAAAAATAGAATTGAAGGGCAGGGAATAAAAATTGGTAGAAAAGGACAAGTTCTCATAGTTGCCATTTATCAACCTACTTGGCTGTTTTCCATTTATCTTTTCGGGATGCCTGAAAATGAAGTAATCATTCTGGCAGTTTTGTTTTATAGCATTTTTTATACTTACTAATCTCAAGCTTATACATGACCACTGTAAAGTTTTTATATTTGTCAAGTTTGTTCTTAAATTAGAAATACAAGTTTTATGTGTGTGGTGTCATAGTACCATGGGATATTTATGGTGTCCTGTTTATATTGACTCTTTTAAACCTAATGTTCATGCAATTGCTTCAGTGATAAATCACTGGCTATTTTAAAGGCAATTTGTTAATCTGGGGGCAGACTGCATAGCTTTCAAAAATTGAATGATTTTGTCAGTGTCTTGGGCTGAATCTGTGTGTGTGTGTGCGTGCATATGTGATTCAGTCTTTTTGTTTATAATATTACCAAGCAAGTGTCCTCACAGTAACTTTATCTCTCTGGAACTGAAATTTGGTAATCAGGCCAAATAATGAAGTGTTGTCTAAATGTGCTACATAAACCAGACTGAGACCAAATCAGACTCCCTTTGGTAATGGACTATTAGTGAGTTAAGACTGAGCTTATTTTCTAAAAGCTTGCAAATTAACTTTTTTGTAGGTGCATGAAATATGGCAAATACAGCTAATCTGTATGGGCCCTAGTTCTTTTTTTTAAATTAACATATAATGTATTAGTAGCCCCAGAGGTACAGGTCTGTGAATTGTCAGGTTTACACACTTCATAGCACTCACCATAGCACATACCCTCCCCAATGTCCATGACCCCACCACTCTCTCCTCTCTCCCTACCCCGCTCTCCCCCCAGCAACCCTCAGTTTGTTTTGTGAGATTAGGAGTCTCTTATGGTTTGTCTCCCTCCCGATCTCATCTTATTTCATTTTTTTCCTTCCCTATCCCCCAAGCCCCCCACTTTGCCTCTCAAATTCCTCATATCAGGGAGATCATATAATTATCTTTCTCTGATTGACTTATTTTGCTCAGCATAATACCCTCTAGTTCCATCCACATCATTGCAAATGGCAAGATTTCATTTCTTTTGATGGCTGCATAGTATTCCATTGTATATGTATACCACACCTCCTTTATCCTGGACCCTAGTTCTGTTTCTGCTTTTGTATTTCAGCCTTTGTGAATCTTTTTTTTTCTCTGCATTGGTTTCTATGCATTCTATCATTTTTTGAAGCCTAGAGAGTTACATTCTTGGACATGAATACTTAACTATAATTTGAAGGAATAATAGAAACTTAGTTCTTTTCAATTATTTTTATGTAGTCAGATTTATATTGTGATGGAATCTTTAGTAGGATATTCAGCAATCAAGGAAACCAATTACCTTTAAATACGCTGGGACAGAAAGGCAATAAATAGTTAACAATAAATCTCATTGAATCCTTTAATCTTTATAGATATTAAAGTTGAAAAACTCTGATCACTTTAATTCATAAAGATTTTATTGACTAGATTAAGTGTGTATGTATGTGTGTAAATATTTTGCGTGGAAATCTAGTTTGGAATTTAGCCAACTAATATTTGCTGTGTACTTAGAAGATTTATCTACCTTTGATTATTGTTAATCTCATTTCTCAAAATATCTTTTGTTGGATGATGGAGTATATTTATGTAAGGTTTTACTTTGAAAATTTATTTAAAATCATTGAAGACATCTCAGCACTTATTGAATACACCTAAACACCAAATAACTTACTATGTATCTAAACGTCTTACGAGTTCATTTTAAGAGCTAAAAGAGCTTTGTTGCTTGGGAGGTCCCTGGAACATTATCCAGAAGGTAAATAGGTGACTATAAAAATGCCGAGTTGGTTAAAAGCCTTCACCTATGGAGTCTTTTTAGAATATGGTAATAATAAGGTCATGAATGCTGCCTACATAAAAATGTGCCATTTGTCATAACTGAGACCTACTTAGAAGGCAGGGGGAATTGGTGCAAATCCAGCTGGCAGTATCATCTTCGTATGTCAGTAACAAGACATAATGGAGAAAGCATTTCTTGTTAATCTGCTTATTTTACCTGCTTTTTCAGTTACAAATTAGCAGAAAATATAGATGCTCAGCTGAAACGAATGGCCCAAGATCTCAAGGACATTGTTGAGCACCTGAATAGAGTTGGAAGTCCTGCTGACACTACTGACCCGGTGTGTGAACTACTTTATCTATTTAGACAACCAAGATTTAGTATGAAATTAGCATTCTGTGAGTTCCTTTAGCTGGTCATCTTCTCCTGTCCTCCTGTGCTCCTTACCTGCTTCTATAGATATGAACTTGGGGTATAGTTAAGTGGGGCAAGAAATATTTAGGAGCAGAATAGGTTATGAGATTTTTTTTAAGGTTTTATTTATTTATTTAATTGACAGGGAGAGAGACAGCAAGAGAGGGAACACAAGCAGGGGCAGTTGGAGAGGGAGAAGCAGGCTTCCTGCTGAGCAGGAAGCCCCATGAGGGGCTTGATCCCAGGACCCAGGGATCATAACCTGAGTTGAGGGCAGATGCCCAACAACTGAGCCACGTAGGCACCCTAAGGTTATGAATTTTTGTGATTATTCCCAGGAGGGTAAAAAAAAGGACTTTCCTCCCTAAATTTTCAGGGGTTTCTCCCTGTTCTTCACAAAACTAAATATGTCCCTATATTTATTTTTCTGTTCCCTTACTCATTGGTTAATTCATTCCTCCTTTTACATATTTTTCTGTGTATTAATATAATTGTGAGTATATGTGTTTGGGTTTATTAGGTATATCCAGGCAGGCCTCAACTTACGACTGGGTTATGTCTTAAATGTTTGATAAGTCAACTACTTGACTCTTACAATACATTTTTTCATAGAGACTTTGTTATATGTGGTTATTAGGTTTCCACCTGCCTCATAGGATCTACCTACCTCATAATGTAAGTTTATTTTAGCATGGGAAAATAAAGCTGAGGCTCCAATTAGAGCTGAGATGTTTTGAATTACTTTGGCCATAAGAAAGGTTTGGTACTTTTCCCCTTTATCTATGGCCTAATTAAAGAGCTTATTTCCTCTACCTTTCCAAGTTGTCTTAGCAACTAAATGGGAGTTCTTCTTTTCCCCTCTCTCACTCCATGGGAGTAGTGGTAAGAGGATTCTTCCCATTGTAGGAACTGCCATTGTACATTCTGTCTGTTGAGTATAATTCGGAATGGGACCAAGATCTGGGTTGGTGAGGACAAAGGATATATATTGTGATTATTCTTTAGTAAGCTCTTTGTCCAGTCATACAGATGGTTCTTTATCTATTTACACATTACTAGCTTTTTTAATTATAAAGAGACAGCATGGTATAGTTGAAAAAGCATTAGAATTTTATTTAAGTCACTTAATCTCTCTGAATCTTAGCTCCTTCTTTTGCAAAATGTCAAGGGTCGACTTAAATGATCTTGAAGTCCCCTCTACCTATAAAAATTATGCCATTCTCTACTTTGGGTGAATCTAAAATTGACCAAAGATAAATATAAATTAGTCTGGGATTATCCATGCTACCATCTTCTTGTGTTCAATAGATGATCAAAGAGTTGACAGATTATAAGTTTTCTTTTTATGAAATATTAGCTCACTATTGTGATTATAAAGTCCACAGTTACTTTATAAAACAGTTTTTATGTGTAAATAAATACATGCAGATTTAGGCATGAGGCAGAGGTGATGTCTGGTCTCTCTGTGTTGAAATAAAATAAGTTTCTGAACAGAGTAAGTGAAAAGGGACTATAATCCTATCCTTCTCCTTTTTCTCTACTTAGCCTTGGATTGTTTTATTTTATTTTGGTAGTGGGGAGTAAATGGTGTGAGTCTTTTGTTTTTGTTTTTCTGTCACAAGGGTGATTGAGATGTTTAAGATGAGTGAATTAAAGATAATTGTTGCTCCATAGCAGGACAAAAGAAGCAAGAGATCAGCAACAATTCATCTCTTTTCTCAGATAGCATAAATGATTGGGTGAGAAGCAGAGAAAATATTTGCTGAACAATAATATTCTTGAAGATAATTTATTGTAACCAGATCAACAAAGCTTCCTTACTATAGGCCATACACCAGGGTAGGAAAATAGCCACAGTGTTTAATAGTATTCACAATGATGGGATTTACCTGTTTATTTTTACTGTTTGTATGTGGGGCGGGGGTGGAGGGAGAGGGTATGGGGGAGGGGGTAGAGGGGAGGAGGTACGGAGGAGATGGGAGAGACCACCTGACACCTAAAATTTTTATTAAGCAGATCCATATTATGGTATATGGTCTTCAGTTACATTTTCTTACAAAAACTCATTGTTCCTACTACAAGTTGTATTTCTATTTGTTATGTTAAAATGCATTAAATTTCTGTTTTCATTACATTCTGTTCTTTTAAGTGTAGTAACATTTTCATTTCCTCCTACTTTTATTTTAAAAAATTTTGAATGTCTAGTGTGTCTCATTACAAAGTTATTACATATACTTACTCAATGTATTATGCTTGGGAAGTATAGAAATCTGTGAAGAAAATTAAATCATCTCTATTACCAGTACCCTGCTAATATATTAGTATATTTTTTCCAAGTCTTTTTGCTATGCTGGTAAAAATTCTCCTTTTGTTTTAAATAGCATTGGAAGCATACATATATACAGTTTTGTATTCTGTTTTCATTTCATATTCTTTCACATGTTTTCCTAAAATTTTAAGCATTCTTTGAAAACTTTGGAAATCTTTGAAAATATTAATGACTCTATAATATTTCATTAGAGGTGACTTTACCATAATATATTGAATTACTTTTTTAAATTGGTGGAAAGATCATTTCCAGTACTTCGCCATTATACAGTTGATCTCTATGACCACTTATGTTTAGATTTGATTATTTCCTCTGAATAGATACCTAGAAATAGAATATATTGAGTTAAAAGGTATGAATATTTTGAGACTGTTGATATATATTGTAAAAATTTACATTTTGAAGGGCTGGGTCAGTTTTTATTACTATAGGCTGTATAGGCATCCACCTATTTTCTCCACACAGTTGACAACTGAGTATTACCATTTATTAAAAATTGCTGACTTGGAAATCTTGCTATTTGCAAGAATATGGTTGGAACTTGAGGGCATTTTGCTAAGTGAAATAAGTGAGACAGAGAAAGACAAATACCATATGATCTCACTTATGTGTGGAATTTAAAAACGCCAGCACCAAAAATACAAGCTTGTAAATACGGAGAACAGATTGGTGGTTGCCTCAGGCAGGGGTTGGGTGGTGGGTGAAATGGGTGCAGGTGGTCAAAAGGAACAAATTTCCAGGTATAAAATAAGGTATGGGGATGTAATGTACAACATGATGACTACTGTTAACAATACTGTATTGCATATTTGAAAATTGCCAAGCGAATAGATCTTTAAATGTTATTATCACAAGAAAAAAATGTTTTTAACTACATATGGTTATGGATGTTGTTAACAAGACATATCGTGGTGATTATTTTGCAATATATACAAATAGCAAACCATTGTGTTAAATGCCTGAAACTAATAGAATGTTATTTGTTAATTATACCTCAACAAAATTTGCTGATTTGGTTGAAAAAAGTAATGTTTTAAATTTTATATGAATTTCTTGTCTTGTGAAATGTCTTTTAATATTTGTTTTTAGTTATTTTTATACTGTGGTAGTCAGTGTCTTATTGAATTATAGGAATCAAATTCTTAACAGTTACAAAATAGTTAGATTGAAGTAATATAAAGATGTAATGAACATTACAAATATGAAATAGCAGAAAAAGCCATTAATATTTTCTATATCCTCAAAAGAAATGAAAAGTCACTTCCTAATTTCAATTTTTTATGTTTATTTTATCATATCAGAATTATCATAATCTAAAAATTTTGTATGTGTGTTTAGCTCCAGCAGATCTGCAAGATCCTGAATGCTCATATGAACTCTCTACAGTGGATTAATCAGAATTCAGGTGGGAGTTTATTTGTATGTGAAGCTGTCTGTTACTGCAGTTAGAAAATGTGATGCAAGGGGCGCCTGCGTGGCTCAGTGGGTTAGGCCTCTGAATTCGGCTCCAGTCATGATCTCAGGGATTGAGCCCCGCATCGGGCTCTCTGCTCAGTGGGGAGCCCGCTTCTCCCTCTCTCTCTGCCTGCCTCTTAACCTACTTGTGATCTCTCTCTGTGTCAAATAAATAAACAAAATCTTAAAAAAAAAAAAAGATGTGACGCAAGTCAGGTTTTGTGCACCGTGACCATGCTCAAATGAGAGCTTGGTTATAGGGGTATTACTTAACTTACAGTATGTTTACATTAATTCTGAAGAACTATAATTGTTTTTATAAAATGGAACATGGTAAGAATAAACTAGAAACTAATGAAAATAGGGGCTGTATAGGAATGAGGTGGAGGAGATAGGGACAGAAGCAGGACTTCCCTATGTTTATATCTTAGTATAGTTTTGACTTTCTGGCCCACATAAAAGTTTAAATACTGAAAAACTAGAATTAAGCCAAAAATACTGGGAAGGAAGACAAATGCTAAACTGAATACATACAAATTGAAACCAGACAAACCTATAAAGCTGTGACATAATCATGTAGCTCAGATAACTTTTGAACATGGTGTTCTTGATAGTACATTCTTACTAGGATATAATCTTAAGGACAGAAAGAACTGCAAAGAAATCTTAAACTTACTTAAAAAGTTATTGTTAGTTTCAGAATTATACTATGTTTCTATATATTCTAATATAACAATATTATTGCCATCCTATATATTGTAGGATAAAACAGAAGCATAAGGATAGTGATGGTAATGGAAGACAAGATAAAATAGAAGATATTATTCTGTTCCTTCTTTCATGTTTGTATCGTAAATTTGATGCAAATATTAGTATGACTTCTGTTCCCTTGTTTTGTTTATAGAAAGGGCCAAGAAGCAATGACACCCCACTAGCAAAGAACAGCACATCAAGCACCTAAATCTTGGTTTCTAAATACCATTTCTATTAAAAGTAACCAAGGCTTCTTGGGGAAACATCTAATCTCAAGTTTCAGGCAGGGAATGTACAGGGTGAGTTTGGAAATTTTTTATTTTTTATTTTTATTTTTTTCAGAGAGAGAGAGAGAGAGAGAGAGAGAGAGCAAACACGGGGGGAAGGGACAGAGTAAGAGAGAGGGAGAGAGAATTTTAAGCAGGCTCCTTGCTCAGCACAGAGCCTGACTTGGGGCTTGATCTCATGACCCTGAGATCATGACCTGAGTGGAAATCAAAAGAGTCAGATGCTTAACTGACCGATCCACCCAGGTACCCTGGGAACTTTTTTATGCAAGCAAATAGATTGTTCAAAACTAATGGGGTTATATCAGGACAAGCCCATTGTGCTTGAATGGGCTTCTATTGGCCAAATTAGGATAGTTTGAACATCAAAAAGAATATCAGTAATGGATTATTATAATACCCTGAGGGGAGATATCCATGAATCTGCAGTGATGGGGGTTTGGAGGGGAGGGAGAGAGAGAGAAATGGGATGTGCAGGGAAAAGCCTTTATAGAAGTGTGCCAGCTAATAATTGTAGAGAGAATGATGGAATTAGAGAACTGCAATTAAAAAATTTTTAACAGAGCATTTTTATTAAGCCTACCCTGATCTTGAATACCTTGCCTCATTTATAAAATGTTTCAGCTGTCAGTCATTTCTTGGCAGAAAAAATATGCCAGAAGGAATGGACCAAGTACAAATTGCATATTACTGAGTTAATTTATAAAAGCAGTTTTGTTGAAGTATAATTTACATACCGTAAATTTCACCCATTCTAATTGTATAGTTTAGTGAGAAAGTCACCACTTTCCCTCCCCAGCATCATGATGATTCAAGCAAGGGTCATTAGTGAATGCTAATACTACTGAGTTTAAGATTGTTGAGGAACACCTTTACAACAGAAATATCTGACAAGTACCACTTTAACCAGGTGATAAAGTTTAATGTCACTAACAGTGCAATAACTCGATGTGCCTCTTGATCTGACATGATAAGAAATAAATAATATCATATATATTATTTTCTTATCAAAACTGGTTTATCTGAATCTAATCATAAAAAAACAATCAGACATTGTACAGGTGCGACATTTTGAAAGATAATGTAGTATTCTTATAAAAAAAAGTTTAACTGAATAAAATCACAAGAAAATAATCAGACATTCTATGTGTAACACATTGTTAAACATGTGAGACTTTTTAAAAAAGTCAGTCATGGGGGGGCGCCTGGGTGGCTTAGTGGGTTAAGCCTCTGCCTTGGCTCAGGTCATGATCCCAGGGTCCTGAGATCAAGCCCCGCCTGGGTGGCTCAGTGGGTTAAGCCTCTGCCTTTGGCTTAGGTCATGATCCCAGGGTCCTGGGATCAAGCCCCGCATCGGGTTCTCTGCTCAGCAGGGAGCCTGCTCCCCCCCCCAACTTCTCTGCCTGCCTCACTGCCTATTTGTGATCTCTGTCTGTCAAATAAATAAATAAATCTTTAAAAAAAAAAGTCAGTCATGGGAAACAAAAAAATTCAAAGCCAAGTTAAGGGGATTGTCTCAGATTGAAAGAATCATAACAATTAAGTCTATCATGTTAATTTTGGATATGGATCAGAACCAAGAAGACATTTTTCTCTTTTCTTTTGTCTTTTCTTCTCTTCTTTCCTTCTTTCTTTCATTCTTTTGTTCTTTCTCTCACTCGTTTGCTTTCTTTCCTCCTTTCTTTCCTTGCCTGCCTTCCTTTCTTACTGCCTGCCTTCCTTTCTTCATATTTTTTATTGAGGTATAATTGATCTATATCATTATGTTAGTTTTAGGTATACAACATAATGATTCGATATATACACTGTGAAATGATCATTATAATAAGTCTAGTTACAATCATAAAGAATTACAAAAAAAAGTTTTCTTGTGATGAGAACTTTCAGTGTTTACTCTCTTGGCGACTTTCAAATATACACTACAGTGTTATTGACTATAGTTGCCATTCTGTACATTACATCCCCGTGACTTATTTATTTTATAATTGAAGTTTGTATCTCTTGACTCCCTTCACCCATTTCGTCTTCTCCCCTCTAGCAAGCACTGTGCTGTTCTGTGTATTTATGAGTTTTGTTTTGTTTTGTTTGTTCATTTGTTTTGTTTTTTAGATTCCACATATAAGTGAGATATGGTATTTGTCTTTGTCTGACTTATTTCACATAGCATAATACCCTCTAGTTCCATCCTTGTTGTCACAAATGGCAAGATTTCATTTTTTATGGGTGAGTAGTACCCCATTGTGTGTGTGTGTGTGTTTGTGTGTGTATCAAATCATCTTTTTCTAAAAAAATTTAATTCCAATATAATTAATGATGTATTAGTTTCAGGTGTATAACATAGTGATTCAACAATTTCTATACATTACTCAGTGCTCATCATGATAAGTATACTCTTAATTCCCCTCACGTATTTCGCCCATCCCCCCACCTACCTCCTCTCTGTGTTCCAACTCTTCTTTATCCATTCATCCAGCAATGGACACTAAAGATTAGGGCCATATCTTGACTATTGTAAATAATGATACGATTAACATAGGGCATATTTATCTTTTCAAATTAGTGTTCTTATTTTCTTCAGATAAACACATGGTACTGGAATTGCTGGATCATTGGTGGTCCTGTTTTTAAAATTTTTGAGGAGCCTCCATACTGTTTTTCATAGTGACTGCACCAACTTATATCCCCATAGCCCCACCAAAGTGCATGAGGGTCCTTTTTTTCCCACGTCCTCTCCAACACTTATTATTTCTTACCTTTTGGCTAATAGGCATTCTGACAGGTGGAGGTGATGTCTCATTGTGACTTTGATTTTCATTTCCCTGATGATGACTGATGCTGAGCTTCTTTTCATTTGTGTGTCTTCTTTGAAAGAATATCTATCCATGTCTTCTGCCTATTTTTAATTGGATTGTTTTTCTGCTATTGAGTTGTATAAGTTCTTTATATATTTTGGATAATAACCCTGTATTGGATATATCATTTGCAAATATCTTCTCCCATTCAGTGGGTTGCATTTTCATTCTGTTAATGGTTTCCTTTGCTGTGCAGGTTTTTTAGTTTGATATAGTCCTATTTGTTGTTGTAGTTGTTGTTGTTTTATTTTGTCACCTTTGCTTTTGGAGTCAGACCCAAAAAAAATCATTGCCAAGACCGATGTCAAGGAGCTTATCACTTGTGTTTTCTCAAGAAGATGTTATTTAGAACAGTTGGGGAAACTGGATAAGAATTGTGTATTAAATGATATTAATGAATTTTTTATTTTTTTACATGTGTTACTGTGGTTGTGTAGGAAAACATTTTTATTCTTAAAAACTGTATGCTGCATTATTTAGAGAATTGTCATGTCTAGTTTTCTTTCAAGTGGTTCGACAAAAATCTTGTGAAAAGAAAGAGATTGAGCAATTTGAGGCAAAATAGTAATGGGGGATTAATCTACATAGAGGATATACAAGTTTGTGATTTTTTACTATTCTCTCAACATTCTATAGATTTAAAATAAAAATATGGGGGAAATAATTTTTATAGACTTTTGCCTAAAATATGGAATATTAGTGAGACCTCAGTAATTGAGATAAATGGAGGCTAGTTAGGCAATAAGTTGTTACTCTTTTTGAAGACATATTATGAAAATAATACACATTTTCTCATTTCTCATTTCCAGAATCCTCATTCTCTTCATTCATAGAGGTCATCAACCCTGAACTTCTTTACCTTTTTTCCCTTCTAGACATACTTATACCATCCTCAACTGGGTATAGAAACTATCCTTTTCTAAACTCTTTTGAATCATCAGAGTTCTATAGAACTTAACAGAGTTGAGTTCTATATTGCCTTAGTATTCATTACCTGATAGGGAGAAGTTTCTGGATGGGTTCAAGTCAAGGCATTACCACTTAATAGTTGTGTGACC